GCAATCAAACACACTGGCTACACTTCTGCTTTCAGTCGGGTTAATGCAATTTTGCACCCAGAGACATACTAAACGGGCACGTACATATAAACATTTGGGGGAGATTTTCACTGATAAACCACAGCTATGCACACTGGGTTATATGAAAAATCATATAGCTTAAGTATGTTGCTACGTGTTTAACGAAGGCTGGTATTTTCAATACAATTAGAGCTAAAATACTCTCATTTCCCCCCGCTTTGCTTGCATATGCCATTTCTCCCCAAAACCTGGAGCCAGATCCCAGACTTGCTTCAGATGTTGCTTCTGCCTAGATAAAGCAGCTTGACCAGGCAGAGGGTTTGAGAGGTTTTGACGTAATGAGTGGGACAATTTAATAAGAGAGTCTCATGAGCTGGACCTAATTGACTAGGTAATACCTCTGGTATTACTATCCTGGGGAGCTCTTTCCATAATCCATGCATTTATTCTGATTCTCCTATGGCGATCCTCCAAAAGAAGGACTGTTCACCTCAACCTCTTTCCACAGGATCCTTGATTTTCAGAGTGGATCCTTTTATGGGAAGAAAGGCAGCTCAACAGGTTGACTCTCTCTGGGTTCCATGCCTTTATATGTTTCATAACATACCGGATCCTTTTAGAGGAATTCAGGACACTTCAGTCCCTAAAGGCATCTCCCCCATGTGAGTCCTTTTATGGGAAGTAAGTTGTTTGCTCCACATGAAGTTCTTTCCACACACCATGCAGGCATATTTTTTCTCTCCCGTATGGATTCTTTTATGAGAAGTAAGGGAACTGTTCAAACTGAAGCTCTTCCCACACTCTGTGCATTGATAGGGTTTCTCTCCTGTGTGGACTCTTTTATGGGAGGCAAGGGAGCTACTATCACTGAAGCTCTTCCCACAGTCTATGCATTGATATGGTTTCTCTCCTGTATGGATCTTCTTATGATACCTAAGGGAACTGTTCATACTGAAGCTTTTTCCACAATCTACGCATTTATATGGTTTTTCTCCTGTGTGGATCCTTTTATGGGAAGTAAGGGAACTGTTCAAACTGAAGCTCTTTCCACACTCTGTGCAATGATAGGGTTTCTCTCCTGTGTGGACCCTTTTATGGGAAGTGAGGGAACCACTACTACTGAAGCTCTTCTCACACTCTACACATTGATATGGTTTCTCTCCCGTATGGATCTTTTTATGATACCTAAGGGAACTTTTGATACTGAAGCTTTTTCCACAGTCTATGCAGTTATAGGATTTTTCCCGTGTATGCATCCTTTTATGGGAAGTAAGTTGATCGCTCCACCTGAAACTCTTTCCACACACCATGCATGCATATTTTTCCTCCCCTCTGTGGATTCTTTTATGGGAAGTAAGGAACCTGTTCTCACAAAAACTCTTTCCACATTCTGTGCATTTATATGGTTTCTCCCCTGTGTGGATTCTTTTATGGGAAGTAAGCTGACTTTTCCACCTGAAGCTTTTCCCACACTCTGTGCACTGATATAGTTTTTCCTCTGTGTGGATCCTGTTATGGGAAGTTAGATCACCATTCCGTTTGAAGCTCTTTCCACAGTCTGTACATTTATAAGGTTTTTGCCCAGTATGGATCCTTTTATGGGAGGTCAGGTTACCCCTGTTCCTAAAGCTTTTTCCACACTCCAGGCATTTATAGGGTTTCTCACCAGTGTGAATTCTCTTATGATAACTCAGGTGGCCATGCCAATTGAAAGTCTTTCCACAGTCTGTGCACTTATAAGGCTTTTCCCCTGAATGGATCCTTTTATGGGCGGTTAAATTACTACTCCACCTAAAGCTCTTTCCACAGTCCACACATTTATAGGGCTTCTCCCTCGCTTGGATCATTTTATGGGGAATAATGTTACTGTTATTCCTGAAGCTCCTTCCAATTTTGCAGCGGTTACTAAAACTGGATTTTGCATTGATTCTTTTCCCACTTCCTTGACACTTTTCTGTACTGCTTTCTTTGCAATTATGTTGGGTCAGGAAGTGATCCGTTTCTGCACATTCAAGAGTGGATTTTTCTCTCCAATTGTAAGATTGGCTTTTCTCATATCTCCTCCTTCCCCAAGTATTTTCAGAAGTCTCTTCTGGTATTTGGATTATTTGTGATGGCCCTACACTTGGCTCTTGGTAATTTTCATTCTCCTGTTCATCAACTGCTTGAGGGGGAAGAAAAAGAAATTAGAAAACTCTACAATCACATGAACAGTTTGCTGTTCCCATGCCAATCTCTAGCCTGCATCTATTCCTGGGCATCTTCAGTGTTATTTATTAATTTAAAAGATTGGCTTCTGTGCTCATTTCATGTGATTCTGGGTGATTAACGACAATTTAAAACAAGAAAATAACACAAAATAACAACAAGCAAAGCAATGCCCTGCAGCCTAGGTTTAACATCATAATGTGTCATACCCAATTGTGTCACATGTGATGCACATAAGTTGCATCCAATACCACATACATACACAGCATCCGATGGCACAACATGCATGTCACTGCAATATCATTGTAAGAGAAAATATGGTGCTGATCAGAACAAGCGAAATAAGCAAAAACATCCCCCAATATTATCTTCCTGGTATTGCAATATTGACACAGGCCCCAAAGAAGATCCCAAGACTGCCTGTCAACCCTTTCCAGACTGACTGGTCACCAGACTGATCTCTTTCTTCTAAATGAAACTGTGGTACTTAGAAGACTGCAGACGTGGACTCGAATTAATGTAAGAGGGAAAGAGAAAAGAGATGAAATTTTTAACAAGACCTGCACAGCTCTCCTAAGCTGTAAATAACAGAAAACAGTCTAGTGACTCCTCACTCTGACTTAATTTTCCTCCAGAGGAACCCTTACCTAAGGAGGCCACATTCCCAGACGTCTCCAACATGACTTCTCGGTGCAGGGCT